CGCCTCGGAGTTCAAGGCCGCCTTCCCGAAGCCCAGGGAGCCGGGGGAACATTTCGCCCTCCCCGCGCGGCCATTGCCGCAGGCGCCAGGATTGCCCATTGGAAAAAATTGGGAGGGCGGCTCCAACAGCGGGGCGGCCATAACTTTTTAAAGAGCCCCTAACGAGAGCGGCTGGAGCCAAAACGACCTCTCGCGTATGATGTTCGAGCGGCAACTCCTCGGAGTTCAAGGCCGCCGCCCCCGGCCCAGGGAGCAGGGGGGACATTTCGCGCCTTCCCCGCGGGGCGGCGGCGCTGGCGCTGGCCGTAACTTTTTAAAGGGCCCCTAACGAGAGCCAAGTGGAAAGCGACGGTCTGGGCTCCGGGGCGCCTATTAATTTGGCAACCTCCAGCGCCGACGTTGGATTCTGAACCAATCAAGAGACGCTCTTTGGCCAGTCGCGGTCTGCGCTGTATAAACTCCCCCCGGGCAGCGGCAGCGTGCAGGGCGGATTTCGAGGTTCTGGGGGAGCGCGGTCCCGTGGCGGGTAAGTAACCTCTTGCTCCCCCTGCCTTAGATAGATAGCTCTAAATTATAATACACCTCTCCTTGAAAAAATGGCACTGGCTGTAGTAGCGATTGTAGCCCGGGAGACGGGGTTCCCGGCTCTGGGTTGGGAAATCCCTGGAGATTTTGCGGGAGGCGCCTGGGGGCGGTGGGGGGCTCAGCAGGGTACAATGCCGTAGAGTTGACCCTCCCAAAGCTGCCCGTTTCTCCAGGGGAGCCTGCCTCGGTCGTCCGGAGATCAATGGTAATACCGGGAGTGAACTCACCAGGCCCTGCCTGGAGGATAGCAACCCTACGTAGAAGCCTCGGTCAAAGAGGAGTACGGAAAGATTTCGGAGTCGTTTGGAAGTGCGGTAACCTAAGAGGAGGTCGGGGGCGCAGCAGCAGCAGCTAATTTTAGTACTGGGCGAGTGTTTTCGGGCGTTCTGGAACGAGAAAGCAGGCACACTCCCCAGTGTCCCGCTTACTTGACGGCTTTGGAAACTTGCCCGTCGTACTGCGTGGCGAGGACCGGATTGGGATGTGTCGGAAGGCGCGCTGTGGCTAAACGGCGGGTCTCCGAGCAGAAAGTAATCACTGTACTTGGATCATTAGTGAGCTTTGGTAGTGCAGTTGCATCCAAGGTATGTCTTCTGAGCGCTTATCTGACCAGAGCAAAATCCTAAAACGGGGGCGACCAATAATAATCCTTTCCTCCCTTTGAGGAAAGCGGCCTCTTTTACGCTTTCCCTTCCTTCGCAAATCCTCTGGAGTATTTTTTCCTCCCGAAGCTTTGTTAACGGAGACGGGTGTGGCATCACCGGGCTCCCCCCCCCCCGCCCAACTGTTTATTTATTGATTTAAAACATTTATTAGCCAGCTTTCTGTCTTGCGGAACTCAAGGTGGCTTACAATAGACATCCTGGACATGGAAAGGACTACCCGGACTCCTTAAAGCTGAGGAGCGTTGCTGCCCTGCTATCTCTGCTGTATAAATTACGCAGGATTAATGTATTGTTTGTCTAGAACAAAATGAAGCGTTTTGTGTTGAAAAACTTGCCATAGAAATTATTTTTAACAAGGAGGTGCAGACATCTTTGCAAATAGAAGCAGGCAAAAGAGAAGTGTCAAATTGGAAGAAGTCGCTTTTATAGTGTGCTCCTCCCTTGGCATCCAGGATATGTATATTATAACTAGGTAGATTTTTAGCTTTTCAAAACCTTTATATGGTTTTATGGCAGTTTCTTCTGCTTTCATGGCCCAGCCCTTCTAAGTAGTAGTAAAACATAAACAGAGTGAATGGTATACAAACGTACCTGTGGTAGATGAATGATTTATGCCCCCAAAGCACAGATAAAATCTGGTTTTGGGATATGGAGTACCCAAGTCCCGGCAGTTATGCGCTACCATTGTTTGTGAAAGGTTACCTAATAATTGATGACAAGATCTCAACAGCAAACACCTTATTACTGTGCATGTGTACAATTTGTTCTGTCCTTACTGATGTGTGAGTAGTAAAACTTTTAATGTAAACTGATGTTTATATAACTTGCTATAAGGCTAGGCTGTTTTGATGTAAAGTCCAAAAACCTAGAATACAATGCAACCAAATGACACAGAAGAGTGTGTCAGTTCTCCAGAACCTTTTTTTATCAGTCTGGTTACCATTTTTTTTTTAAGTTTTAAAAGAATTTTGGAAAAGGAAAATTTATTTTGATTTTATTTATTTTTTTGGATTTATATCCCGCCCTCCCCGAAGGCTCAGGGCGGCTAACAACGAGGCACAAGTGCCACCGTTAAAATAGGTAAAAACAGCATAAAACAAAATAAAACAATATAATACAACAACAAAGTGTCAATGCTCCATTTATTGCAAGGTGGGGTAGATCTTAATCCAATTGGCAACGTTCCAATGACCTGTCATCCCTTCTCCTCCAAGGGTCACTTCGCAACCCGATGGAAAATGCCTCCAGACATGTTAGGTCCTGATCAAACTTGAGTGTTAGATGTAGAGATGATTAAAGTTACACCCAGTTCCTTTGGGCAAGAGACGATAAATCAGTTATACTCCATAGAAAAACTATATCCGCCAAATGTTGCCAATATATCTCTGAACTAGCAAGACTCAAAATCCCTTTTTGGAAGAGAGCACCTGGAAGTCATTTTGTTAATACTGTGATCTGGCCCACTTCAAAGTTACCTTGAATTAACAAACTTGTTGCCTTTATAGCACAAGGATCTTCAGTGCATAACTGAAGGTAGGCTATGTGTATGCAAGAAAATATTTAAAAACAATGTGTGTATTTTGAAAGGCATCCTGTTAAACAGAGCTTCCTTAAATAATGAAGCATTACGATTAGAGGTATGCATAGCTGTAGCCAGGAATTCCGATGTGGGGGGGGGGCATTGGCTAATAGAATTTAAGGTAACTCAATTAAAGTTAATTACCTTATGTTGAAGTGAATTAACGTACCTTTCTGCCCTTGCCAGCCTGGGAGGCTGTGGGGGAGAGACAGACATGCAAGAAAGTGGGGCATAGGAACCCTGTGTGGGATCCCAGGTGCTCGAGAGCCCGCCAGTCACAGGTACTTTCCAGGGAAAATAGACTTTCTGGGGCAAATAGAGAGGTGCTGTCTGGCTCTGCTCCGCCACCGTAGCTGGCCCTTCACGTCAGACAGTTGAGCAGGAATACCCAGCTCCTTCCCTGCACCCACCGCCACTCGGGGGCCCTGGGCTGGATGGGGAGTTATGGGGCCTTGCCAGTAAGTTGGGGGGCCTAGCCCTGAGATGCCCCACCGTAGTTACGGGCCTGCCTCATTCCCTGACATTCTGTTATTGGCTATGCCTGCCTGTGTCAGAATTCCAAAAGCGCCCACAGACTCAGAAAATTTGGGGACCCCGATGTACACCAATCCCAACTGGAGAGCTAGATAACAGCTCGTAAGGATACTCAAGAGTGTTGGTAATTTATTGATTGGGAACTGCAAAGTGGGGAACATGAATTGCAGCATCAAAACCACCACTGTCTTTTCAGAGCTTCTTAAGAACAGGAGAAATAATAAAATTGAGTCCTAGATTTAATGAACAGCTGCACACTTAAAGTGACTCCAGTGGCAGCTTTAAAACCAACAGAGTGTTGTTCAAGGTATAAGCTTTCACGTGCATGCACACTTCTTCAGATACAATGAAATGGAAATTACCAGTCCATATATATAGGTAGAGGGTGAGCAGTAAATTAGCATGCAACATAATGAAGGTATTTAACAAATTCAAGACCAAATAGGAATAATAAGCTTCGTTTATACGGTTACCATTTGTTTGGGTTTAATTCCGGGAGAAACATAGTGAAGGAGATAAATATGTCAAAATTGGGGACTGATGGGCTGATGTATCCTTAATTGTGGAATTCTGAGAGTAATTAACTGAGACCCTGCCATTACACTCCATCCGTCTCCTCTCAAGCATGGAGGCGACCTTACAGCATCTTTTGTTTTGAAGCGGGGTGATTGGCTGTGTAGAGTTATCTTCCCTGTCCCTAGACCAGAGAAATACATCCCAACCTATAAAAGAATTACCCCTGCACATTCAGACATACCCTTTTAGACACACCACAGGAACTTTGACTGGGTAGGTACCTTTTATTTTCTACCCAAAATACACAAACCCAGCAACCCAGGATGCCCCATTGTCTCAGGCAGTATCACTGTGGGGGTACCTGAACAATTAATTTGTAATGAAATGCTTTTTTGGTATAACTTTGGGAAACGTTTGCAGTACAAAATTGACTTAGACAAGGGACTTGTGTTGGTTCTCTCTTTACACATGAACAAATACTAAACTAATCTTCACAATGTAGCAGCTTTTTAAAAGGCTACGTGAGACGTCTCTAGTGGCTAAAGTTCTCATTCCATATCACGGAGGGACTATCACCTTAGAGACTGGGCTGTCCTTACCAGTTTTATTGTTAAATGGAGGGGGGAATAATATAGATGGAGCAGGCCCTATTGTAAGCTGCTCTGAGCCTGCTTGCGGGGAGAGTGGGGTAGAAATGTAATAATAAATACATAAATAAATAAATAACTTCCCCCCCTTTGCCTCCCAGAGTTGTTGGAAAGGTATATGTCTGGAAACAGCAAGGGTTCAATTCCAACCATGGCCCCAAGCCAGAATGAGAGGGTAGACACTGTGGCTGCTATTGTTTTGGTTTTTGTTTGTATTTTTATTAGAGATATATAAAGATTATACAAACACAAATATGGGTAAGTATAAACAAGTATATCATTGTTAAACAGATACTATACAACAGCCATTCTAGTATCAGCTTGTTTGATAATAAAATTTCATCTGGTTTAATACTGTTCCCATACAGTACAAAGGGTAGCTAGCCCTACAGGGCCGTAGCCAGTGGTGGGGTGCTGAGGGCGGCACCCCCTATCATTCTGCAGTGCCCTCTGTCAACAGGGCAGACTGGCAGGTGCAGCAGCACCAGCATCTGTGGCTGGTTTCTCCTTCCAGCGTCTCTGATTCCCTCAGTAATGGTGGACTACGGGGGTCGGCCATGGAAGGGTGAGAAGAAGGCTTCTCTGCCACAAACCCTCATGCTGGAGGGGGGTGAGCAAGGCAAGATTCAGGTGAGTGTTGCCTGGGGCTCTGAAGTGCCTGTTCCCCCCCCCCCATCTGGGTTGCCAGTGGCAAAATGAGAGGACCCTGCCCAGGCTGAGGAGAAAGGGCAGGGCGGTGGATCTGAAGAAAAAGGGTTCCTTGCTTTTGCTCTGTGTAACAACATCTTTGGTTCAGGCTGAAAGAGGCCTACACAAACATTCCCCAAGAGGACAAAGTTAGAGTCCAGTTAGAGCTGCTTCAGACCAGTGCGGCTGCCCACCTTGATTCCCTACGAGGGTTAGAGTCTAGAGCAGGGGTGGCCAAACTTGCTTAACGTAAGAGCCACATAGAATAAACGCCAGATGTCTGAGAGCCGCAAGACATGAACAAATATTACACGTTTTTTCTGGGAAATATGCAAATTTGCTTTTTATTAACATTAAATGATGCTATTAGTGTTGTTGAAAAGATACTTCAGTGCTGTAGTAGCCTTCAGTACAGAGTAGACCATACTATCTTGTTGAGGTGCTTGGAGGCAGAAGGGGATGTGCGTTGAACTCGTTCAAATCATTCCTCACAGATCAAACTCAGAGGGTTGCTTCTGGAATGTCATCAGTTGGGGGGGGGGCGCTAACCTGTGGTGTTACACAGGGCCCAGTTCCATCCCCTGTGTTTTTTCAATCTCTATGTAAAGCCCTTAGGATAAATCATTTGTCGCTTTGCAGTTGGTTGGCATCAATTTGCAGATGATACCCAGCAATATGTATCCTTATCCAAGTAACCTGGTGATGCGGTAGAGGTCCTAATTTGCTGCCCGGCTGCTGTGGTAAATTGGCTTAGAGTGAACAAATTGAAACTGAACCCTGAAAAGACAGGGGTAATGTTGATTAGGAAGGTGGAGATCTTGAAGGCTTTTGATGGAGTTCAGCTGATTTTGCAGACTCAGTTAAGAGCCTTGGGGTTTTACTGAATGCAGTGTTATTGCTGGAGAAGCAAGGTAATGCAACTGCAAAAAAACATTTTCTCCCAACTAGCCTAGCTCATAAGTTGGCTCCTTACCTGGATATGGCTGATCCGGCCACCTGGATCCATGCTACAGTGACATCCAGACTAGACTAGTATAATGCACTGTACATTGGTCTTCCCTCGAAATCCATTCAAAAACTCCAGTTGGTGCAGCACATTGTGGCTCTGCTCTTATTGGGAACTAGATGGAGCATGCTTATTATTCCCGTTCTACGGTCACTCCACTGGCTGCCCATCAGTTACCAGGCTAAATTTAAAGTATTGGCTATTGCATATGAAGCTTTTCATGGCCTTGGGCCCTCGTATCTGTGAGACGTCTCTCCCCCCAGGCCCTACTATGACAGATGTGCTCATCCCAGCAGGGCCGTCTGCAAGTGCCAACCTGGAAATGGGCAAAATCGACAACAGCCCGTATGTGTGCCTTCTCTGTTGTGCCCCCCCACCTTGTGGAATGGCCTGCCTGAGGAGGTCAGGAAGGCTCCAACTCACCTTGATTTTTGCAAGCTATGCAAAACTGAATCATTCAAGAGGGCTTCTTTACTCAAACAGTAGGGCAGCACTGTACAAAGGGCTTAACAAAATTACTTGAATAAATTATTGGGGACTGTGGTCTGCATTACTGTATACACTTTGCTATGGGTTGGATCCTATTGTGTAAGTTTGCATCATTTAATCCGTCATGTTAACACTTATGCTCTGCATATTTTTAAGACATCTAGTTGGTTCTACGACCCAAATCCTATTTCATTGTTTACTGACTGTCCCATCTACTTGATTTTGTTGACTCACTCTGTGTAATCCTCCTTGAGTTCCGGTGAGAAATGCAGACTATAAATAACATAAGTAAAAAATAAAAATATATAAAACAAACTGTTCCTAAGGTGGTTAGTCTCTTTAATCCCACTGAAAAGAATAGGAGAAGCACCCGCTCATTGCATAGAGTGCAATAATATCTATTTGCTTTTCACCTCCAAGCACAGTTTTTCACCACAAACACTTCATAGCCATTACAAAGAAGTTGAACAGAAAGGGGCCTAAAATGCAGTCTTGACCCCCTCTCTGTTCATACTTTTAAAAGTATTTCCTGTGTTCAGACTATTGTAGTATCAAAAGGGGAACTTGAACCCTTTGAGTTTGCATCCTACAGATCCTAGGGGAACTTGTACCCTTTGTGTTTGCAACCAGCACATCTTAGGAATACAATGGGGAAAGTAACCTTCCTCTGTTATAAAAGTTTTTTTATTGGTAGATGTAGCCCTGATGGCTTTTTGGCAGAACAATGGCTGAGTTCAGACTGGCAGTTTGCCCCGAGATCGGCACATGCCAGAAACGTTTCACAAACGGATTAAAGTTCACACAGGCACATCTGTCAGGCGTTCCCTAGCCCGTCTTATAGCGCTTGCCTCCTGAGTTTAAAAAGTACCTGGTGAAAGGGGTAGCAAACCCTGGAGAGCATGGTCATCCTGTGTTCATCCAGCACCAAGGAAGGGTGAACGCCAAAAGCCGCAATTGCTTGTGTGCTTATGCTCATATCTCCAGATTGCCAAAAAGAAAGCCGTGCCTCTGCCAGGGGCAGGCCAACAGTGCGAACGCTCCCTTGAGCCTCTTTCCTGGTATGCTCCCGCATCAGTTGGTGTGGTGTGACCGGGAAAACCCGGAACGGAACAGTTTGTGCCGGATCTTTTTGCCACGACTCCCTCGCACTTCAAACTGCCAGTCTGACCTCAACCAATGTGTTTCCATTCTGTGGGAAAGGAGTCTGAACTGCATGAACCGGAGTATTAGACTCTGCAGTCAGAATGAAGCAGTAAGATACTTAATGACACTGTAGGCCTCTTGGGTACTTGTTGCTTTCCGTCCTTGCATGTAGTGACAGAGAAGTGTAGTAAAATCCATTTAAGTGTGTAATGAACTAGCGATGATGAATATTTTATCACGATTAGGCATGTCCTGAGATTGACCAACAGTGATGGCAGTAAGAAATTTGTGCCATTTGCTGAAGACTGAAGAACTGAAGAATGGCTTACTTGGGGTTTTATTAACAGGGTATACTTAAGGGTTTAGGGCTGGAAGGTATATGTATTTGAGAGAAAATGAAAGTACCGCTACTTTTAAAGGCTTATCTGCTTCGTCATCTACATATGTGACCACATCATTTATCACATTACTGTCTGGAATCCTCCGTTTCAATGTACTGTATAGTAATGCCCTTTTTCGTTATTGTGAAGACTTGATCTGGCAAAGCACACATGGGAACACCGTAATAAATATTGAAAGCTGGACTAAAAATGCAGGGCAGTGCTAAGGCAGGAATTCTGCCCCAAAGTAATCCAACTTTTGTGCCAAGAATAGCTGAATTCTCTAATTAGAACAACACAAGCTAGAGGCCTGTGAAGAATACCACCCCATCCCTAGATCCCCATCTAGTTCCTAGAGCCAGTGTGGTGTAATGGTTGAAGTGCTGGACTAGGAACTAGGCGATGCAGGCTCAAAACCCTGCTCTGCCATGGAAGCTGGCTGGGTGACCTTGGGCCAGTCACACACTGTCAGCCTAACCTACCTCACAGGGTTGGTGTAGGGATAAAACAGAGGAGAGGAGAACGATGTAAGCCTTTTTGAATTCCCACTGGGGAGAAGGGTAGGCTATAAATACAGTGAATAACGAGATCTCTGCCTTGAGAGTGCCTAAGCTCTCAGGGGCTTCAGTTAGGCCCTTTTCATACTCTTTTGTTCCTTCGCCTTAACTGAAGCTTGGCTACTCTTTCAGCGTTCCATCCCCTGTGGAGTCACTTTTAGTTTTTAAAATCTCCCCTCACCTTTGGTTAATTTAGTCATGTTTTTCTGCATATCCATAGAATCTTCTGAACAGGTGGAGATCCCTACCTTGTCTGTGTGCTGGCTGGTTTGCTCTTTTTGCCATCTTGTTTTGTACTGTTTATGCAGCATAGTGGGCAGAACTTGATCATGCAAAAGGAAGGCCAAAGACTGCAGTTTTCAATTTCTTTTCCCCTGAAGTGTGAACCTCCCCTCCCAACTTGCCAGTATGTTCATGGGTAAAAAGCTGAGATTCATAGTACATGATTGTGAAGTACTTGAACTGATGCTCAATTCTTTGCTTGTGCAGTATTGGGCAAAAATGCCAGATAATAGATAGCCAGATCCTATGTAGAAATAAGCACATTTTAGTCCTTTGATTTCAGAGAACCTGAATAAGCCTAATTTGGGGTTGCCCGGTTTGGTAGGTTTCGCTTCCAAGTAAACATGTACATAATGCTGCATGCTTCAGAGCATAACATTTCTGTCTGTGTTTTAACTGTGTCCTTGCTTTACAGGTTAAGAAAGCATAACAAACGAGAAGATGAAGTGTCTCTTGATCACTGTTGCCTTTGTAGCTTTGTTCTGCCCTTCTGGTAGGTATTATGGTGGTTCAATAAAAGAGATAATATATTGCAAAACTACATCAAGATAATGAGAAGAGGCATGGTAGAGTGGATCCAGACCTGTTCTGGAGGATGTGAGGGCTTGGACAGCGATTGATAGTAGCTGAATTCTACGATACCAATTCAAGACCAAAAAATCTGTGAGTGGTTATTCGGCTGCTGAAGGAAAGGGCATTTTTGTGCAGTAGGTTTTTTCGTGCATTGGAATCAGTAGGTTTCCCCTTGCATTGGATCCTCAGGAATTTGTTCTATGGCAGATATTTAGGGGGGAGGAAATATCACTAGAAGGTCCTCTATCTAGGTCAAGTGATACGGTCAGGAGCTCTGCCTCTTTAGTGTATAAAATCACACTTGGAGGCAATTGTTGCTCCTAGGATCAGCATTCTGTTTGGCCCTGATGCCTGCTAAAATCAGTTTTACAGTTGCTGTATTTCAGGAATTCCGTTTCATGCAATAAGCCTACATATAATTATCCTGCTCTTTTCTCTTATTTAGAAAGTGTCATAAAGTGTTATGACTGTATTCCTGGTCCCAGTCTATGCAAAACTGAGAAGAACTGTTCATCAGAGTATGATTCTTGCATCTGGGTCAGCCTGGGTATGACCACTTCTTTACATTACACATGGTTATTTTTTGATATGTGCAAGTAAAACACATGAATGTCTTGCAATATTTCAGTAATTCATATGTTGGCTTTATGCACCTGTGTTCCTATCATATATGTGGCTTTGTCTTGCCACTGAAGTGAGATGGAATACGTTTAGGGTTATGTTACCTAGAAATTATGGATTGTGGTAAACTTGGGGTTGAGTAGATCACTTATTTTGCTTTTGTTAGATTTGTGTAGTTTCGTTAGATTCGTGTAGTTTACCAATTTGTTTCCTCTGGAAGATTCTAGGTGGCTAACAAAGAGCAACTTCAAATATGTGCAAAATGGAGTGTTTTTATTCCCAAACATAAATATAGGGGACATCAGAGGAAAAAATGGGAGTACTTCAACCTGAAATCTGAAACATCTTTCCAAAGGAGTATGGTGTGGAAAACAGCAGTAACAATTATGTTACATTGTAACCTCGCTTTAGAAATTATAGGCGTACCAGGGAAGGACTTGCAGGGGGCATCTCATTTCCCTCTCCCTCACTGTATCCTTTTCCGTCCCTGACAGCCTGTGTAGCCTCTCTCCTTCCCACCCACCTGTCCACCTACCTTTGTCTTCCACTCTTTCTTTAGATTTCCCTCCTCCATTCCCCCTGGCACCCTCTCACCAGGAAAACTCTGGCTGAGTTTCACAGTGCTGGCTGCTGCCCTGGGCCAGATCCAGTTATGCAGTAGAGAACCTGCAAGGATTTGCAGGAGCACTTGACTTTCCTCTGACCCTCTCCCCATAGTTCCTCTTTCCCTCCTCCTGGGAGCCCCCATATTCTCACCTTTCCTTGCTTCCTTCTCTTCTTCCATCCCACCAACCTACTTACCTTTTATCTGCCCACCCACTATATTATTTATTTCATTTTTAGCCTGCCTTTCTCTGTGGGGTCTTACATATGGGTTACTTACCCCAAATTCAGTGCTTTTAGGAAGGGTTTTTCCCCTTTGCTTCTCTTTAACATTGTGGTGCATTCATGTACCTCTGGGGGTGTGAGGCAAACCACCCCTGACCTCCCCTCAAGGGTTAATGTGAACAGTAATGGGCTTGTTCTATCCTGTAGGTGCTACTAATTGGAATCTCAGCCTACACAGCCCTTGTCTTCAAGGCCAGAACTGGAAGTGTGGTAATTAGCTTCTCACAAAAATTTGCAGCCCATAGGATGGGAGGGGAAGAATCAGGGGTGATGAGGTGATCTTCTGGAGGCTTCTCCTAAGGACATGTCCTGATTGGGTGTCCTCATCACCTGATGTTGCTTGTCCAAAAAACTATAATTGAACTAAGACCCTGAAGAAGAAAGACTAGCTTGGATTCTGATGGACTAAATGCCTGGACTATGATATGCTTGAATTGCAATTGCTTGCGATATAGAGAAAGCCTGAGCTATGAACTTTGACTCTTGGATAAAGGTTTGTGCTATCTAATGCAAATCTTTGGGAAGTGTTAAGATAGTTAAGCTAGTTTTCCTGTTTTCCTACTGTATTATTTTAGAGTAATGTGTTGCCTGTGGAATAAACCTTTTTTGTTGACAGAAATTAAATAAAACTGCATAAACCTTTTTTAAAAATAAAGGTTTGGTTACTTGTGTGCAACAGCCTTGGAGACCAACAGGGTTCAGTCTTGGACTCCTTGACAGGGGGCTTCCCCAGGTTTTCGCCAATATTCCTACTTTGCTCTAGTTTTGGGAAATGTCTCAGTAGAACCTGTGTGGCTGCTGTCAGCGTAAGTATGGCTTACCGAAACGGCTGCCATTTCCTTGACTCTGCCCCCACAGCAGCCGTTTCTTTCCCCACACTCTTGAGGGACTTTTAATTTTTAGTTGGCAACAGAACATTGTTATATTGGCATACCACTGGAAAATAAGAGTACTAAGTTCTCTGAATTCTCAGCTTGCATTTTTAAAGAAAAAGCCTCTAGCCACTTCTCTTATACAGATACAAGGAATGGGGCAGATTTGGCAAGGAAAGAGGGCAGAGATGAACTTTAACAAAAATGAAAGCCAGGAATTCAGAGAACACGCTGCACCTATTATTACAATGGTATATTGATATAACAGTGTTTTGTGCCAGTTTTTTAAAAAGTAGGCAAAAGCCCTGGTGGCCCCTGGGAGGTTAGACTGACAGTGTATGACTTTATCCAGAAAGCTTCTGCATTAGAGCATAGATTTGAGCTTGGGTCTCCTTGATCCTGCCCCCTCCACCCTGCCTTGTACTAACAGAAACCAAGGCTTGTAGGCTGGTGGTGCTATTGTAGTTGCCTAGCAGCCCCCCATAATGGCCACTGAGGGCATTTGTTTCTTAAAGTTATAGGTGCTGCTTCTATTAGTTTTTGTGGGGTTAACCCTCCCAGTGTTCCCCCCCACACACACACACACATTTTCCCTGCAAACTTAGGGATTTTCTCAAGTTTGTGGAAAGATTTGTCTTGTCTGTTCATGGTCCTAGTCTCTAGATTTAGGTAGCCACAGATGGGGCCATGATGAAAATTACGTATGCTGATACTAATTTTACTTAGAGCAGGTAGATTTACATGAGACTAGCACCTTAGAGACCAAGATTTTGGAGGTACCTGATGAAGGGGAGCTTTGACTTTGAAACTTGTTCCACCAAAATCTTGTTGGTCTTGAAGGTGCTACTGGACTCAAATCTAGCTGTTCTACTGCCGACCATCACAGCTATCCTCTGAAACTAGATTCTCCTAGGTTTCTAGTTGAGAGGCAAACCAGTGCAATAGTGCTGGTGCTTGCTGTGTCACGCTAATGCAAAGCAAAAAGGTCAGAAAAATTAATACAACACATTACCTCACCTACATCGCCAGATAAAGATGAATGCTACCCCAAAGAAGCCAGCCTTTCTCTCCTTTGATAGCAGCCGTGCTCCTTGATGAATTCTCCCTCTTAGCCTTTTCTTCTCTCCTGGGTGTTATCAGTCTCATCAGTTAAAATACAAAGTAATATATCCAAAACTGTATTTAATGCAAAAGGCAGCAGTAAGTTGCAACAGCCCTACTGGATACAATATTTATATCAAGCCTATCAAGCCTTTCTGCATTGCACAGGTAGTACACAAGGCAGGTTACAAAATATAAACAAGTAGGGTTTCTTGTGGGGGGCATCTCCAATCCTCCACTGTTTCCCCTTTCTTACCTTAAAGCATCCATAACCTCTCCCTATTTTTCTCCTCCCCTTTTCCCTTCTTTTGTCTGTTCCCCCGACTTTGACTTTTTGTCCTTCCCTCCCTTTGGCAACCTGCCTCAGGGAAAAGTGTGGCCCAGTTGGGGGGGGGGGCACAGAGTAGGGGTTGTGAGGAGGATCTCAGATGGTAGGGTGAATAGTAAGGGATGAAGCACTTCTTCTAGTACCCTGGCCCCCAACTATTTACCCCCCTAAAGGTAGAAACTAGCATTTCAGATTGTGCCTGGAAACAGTCAGTATGAGTTTATTGCTCCTCATCCATCCTGTTACCTTCTTCAGGCACCTGTTCAGGACATCCACAGACTTTATCAGCTGTTAAGGAGAAACAGCAGTGGGTATCATCTGTATATTGGGGGCAAATTATTCAAAAATCTCCTCCCATAGTTTCTCCTAGAAGTTTCATGTAGATGTTAAACAGCATGGGGAGCAAGCTAGATCCCCATGGGACCTTGTAGTGTAAACACCATGGGGCTGAGTAGCAGTCCCCCCAACACCACCTTCTGGAATTGGTCAGCCAATTCAGAGTGGAACCACCAAAGCATAGTGCCCTCCACTCCCAGCCAGCCTCTCCAGAAGGGGAGGATACCTTGGTCAGTGGCATCAAAAGCTACAACAAGGTCCAGGAGAACCAACAAGGATACAATCACCTAGTGAAGATTATCAGTGTGAGAGACAGAGGCTATTTCTGTCCAAAACCCGGTCCTGAATCCAGGTTGGAATTGGTCTAGATAATCCTTAAAGCTTGCCTGAAGCCATGCAGCTACTGCCTATTCCAGCACCCTGCGCAAGAATGGAAGACTGGCTGCCAGGCAGTTATTCTTTAGGCCATGCAGGTCTTAAAAAAAAATACACACACCAATATAAGTTGTGGCAGAAACAAAGGGAACACTAATACTGAAACTGCATGTTCCAGCAATTAATGCCTGCTATCAATCTGCTACTGCATTTTGCACCAATTAAAATTTCGAACTGGCCTTGAAGTGCAGTTCTACATACAGTACATTAAAGGGCATGATGCCAGGATAAGCACAGCAGACAGTATCCTGGGACTAATTGTACCTTACTCCAGTCCCGACATGTTCCTGCTACACAAGTGTCCTTTCCTCATTCAGACCAGTCCCAAGTTACTGTCAGGTATGTGCGTGGCCTTGTTATTTATGATGAGACTTGCTGAACTACCAGTGGGATACCCCTGCTGAAGTTCAACATCAGAATTTGTAATTGTTTGACTCATCCCTCTGGATAGAAGTGCACATTGCCAGTTTCTGATCATTGATGGGACGTGGATGCCATCCTTACTGTGTAGAAGGCACTGGTGTCATTCCAGTCACTTCTGCAAAGGGCAGCAGAATACCAACCGTTTATGGAATGCTGGAGCCTCTAGTTTATCTCAGACCCTGTGAGCTACATATTCACAGCATTGCTGTGGGCTGTGTATTCACAGCATTGCATTGTTCATTGGCATTCACTCCATCATGCTTTGCGCCACATGCTGCTGCTGCTAGAACACTGAACTTTTCAGTAGCATGAACTTTGTGCTCTAAAAAACCACATAAAATCCAAATAATTATATGTATTAAAATATGAAGTTTTTAAAATAGTTTCATAATAATCCCTATTCTTAAGATACAGATGCTTGCAGCAGCATCCCCAGCACTGAGTATATTTATTTTAAAAATTATTTCGATACCGAATCAGTTCCAGAGAGTCAGCAGCAATAGTAAAAAATTCTGGGGACTCAATCAGTGGCTTGCATATCCCACACGCCGGAAGGCAAAATTTGACAACTTTATTAGTTCTCTCCTGGGAAGAGTGTGCAAGAAGGAGAGAGACATACAGTTGTTCAGATGTTCCTAGTAAAGCTGACAGAATTGGAGCGATACACTGAGATCGGATGTCATTATAGAATGAGCAGTGCGGCAGAACATATTCAATAGACTCTGCTTTCCCTGTATAGCATGGACAGAGCCATTGAGGGAGTGGCAGGATGGTATCTGCCTTCCAGGAGGGCTGAAGGCAAGGCACTAAAGCATGCCAGGGTACAGATTCTCTGATATTTCGAGATCTCAAGAGATCTAAGATAATCTGCTGGTTGAAAGCATTGGCATACTACAGAGTGATTGGATAGTTTTGTATTTATACTTGTGCCAAAAGACACAATTGTATGGGCTAACCTATACATAATACACTGGCAGTGCAGGTATAAACCCAGGACACGGCTGGTGAAACTAAGCTGGTCTCCTACGCTTTTACAGGATATTTATATATATATTAGCAGTTATAGCAACTGTAGTGGAGTCTGTAATGGCACTGTGCTTGCAAGTCAGGCACTAAAGCAGCCATCAGTCCATGACAATACCAGCATGCCTTCCTGCCATTGTTTTCCATATGCAGAACACAATGAGGGGAGGAATAAAAGCGACACAGCATTCTTCTCTATAGGGAGAACTTTGACTTGCCCAGTAGGAGTCCTATAAGGAACACATTTCTTGGAGCTCCATAGAGGAAAGTAGTCCCTTCTTAACATGCTGTCATGCTGCCATCCAGGTCTACTCAGAGTGGCAGTGGCTCTCTCGGGTCTCAGGGTGGTTTGAAATAATTATTTTGGGGGATGTACTAAAATGAATGACAGGATTGCCCAGTCGAATCCGACTCTAGGGTTGCGGTGCTCATCTCCGTTTCAAAGCCGAAGAGCCAGTCTCCAACACTGGGTTGTATCTGCCTGCTTAACTAAGGGTGGCATGTTCCTCCAGTGCAAGGAGCCACCTTCTGATTCTAGTGTGTCTTCATCACAGATTCATTCTGTCAGGCAGCTGACTCTCTGCACCCTCCACTCTCTGATTGGTCAGCTGCAGAGCTCAGAGTTCTGAGGTAAAAAAAACCCCAACAGTTACAGGGGACTGCAGAGAGCTAATGACAGGAGTGGCCAAGAACCACCTGTGAGGTGAAGCAAAGCTGCTGGCCCAGCCTCTCCCATGGTTTCCAACAACACACTCCACCCACCTCCTACACCTAACAGGCGGTTGTCTGTCAGGTGCAGTTCCCTGCTCTCTCACCCAGGCCATGTTTCTGGCTCCTCAGGGTTCTTCTCTGAGGCTTCTGAGTGAGAGTCTAGAGCCAGCTCAGTAGAGGTCATGACAGCCTAGTTGATCAGTTCTCTTTTAAATTAAGTATAACTGGATGACAAAAACTGTCACATCCATGTTTTAAACAAAAAAGTAAATGACTTTCCTAACATTTTTTCTCTCTCTCTTTCTCTTTAAGGTGAACAAAGAGAGTCCTATAACTGCTGGAAATATTCCCAATGTGATGGCAAAAATATCGAGAAACACTTTAACACCGGTACCTTTACGTTTAGGTGCTGCAAGTCAGACTTGTGTAATAGTAGTCCATTAACAATGGCAGGGAGTATGATCTCCCTCAGCATAGCATCTTTTCTGACCACACTGCTTTTAATCTGAACAGAAAAAGTGGCACATGGCAAATAGCATTTCAAGTACTTGTTGGATTGTGCATTATTTCCTGCTGCATGTGTAAACTGGCCTTCAAATAAAATGTCTCCTGTGCTTGTATCTCCAACACTGGGTTGTATCTGCCTGCTCAACTAAGGGTGGCATGTTCCTCCAGTGCGAGGAGCCAACTTCTGATTCAAGAGCGTCTTCATCACGGACTAATTCTGGCGGCTTGACACCGACAGTGCTTCTAGCTCTTTACTGGGCCACAAGCTTTTGTTATATGCACTTGGGATGTGAATAAGCACTTTGCCTTCATTATAAATCATTCTTGTAAATGTTATATGCCATTCATTCTCCATTAGGATTTTTACATTTGTGTTTATACGCCAGCCCTATTCTGTGTGGGGAAGTTTGGAGCAGCTTACAGGGGGCTCCCATTGGCCTCCTATCCAGGCACTCGCATCTAATAAAAATTAAACACCCCAGGCAGGCTTTTCGCTCAGTCCTAACCATCCTCCTTGTCCTCTGTCTTTCTTTCCATCTTACATCATCTGAACTCATGTTCTTAATTAAAACAGTATATCCCTTATGCTTAAATTCTCTACTACGTCTGGGTAGCAACTCCATAGCAGTGTGGGGCTCCCCCGTAGACCTTTGGAGTACTCATGCAGAACTCCAGGGCTCTGTAGACCCCAGTTGGAAAACAGCTGTATTAGAGCATAAAAGCCCTAGTGGCAGCTGAACATAATCAATGAAAAGCGGCCCACAAAACAAAGTGTGAAAAAGCACAAGTCTCTTTGAAAGTTGGTAACATCTCAGATTTCTGTGACAACACAGTTTTCAGAGTGAGTGGGATTTGGGCTAAAGCCTTCTCTAAATTCACATGCAGCATCCCAAAAGCCCTAATCCCAGATGTGTGATTGCCTTTTGGGGTTCTGTACTGGGATGAGAAGAACCGACTTTGCATGTGTGTTCAAGAACACAATAAATAGCCTGAAGGACAAAGCCTGACTTGAACAGCCTTTTATTACAAGGATTTGGATGCAGTCCATGATCACTGGAATTCATTTGCTGTTCCTATTCCAGTGGGGAAATGGTGGTGCTATTTTTGCTATTCACAGTGGAGAGAACACCATTTGTGTATTAATGCTTGGTAGCCTGGTTAGTTCAGGGGCAGCAGAGAACTGACAGTAGTTGGCTGTACCAAGAGTTTACAAGAGGTAGGAGCTGAAACAAGTTTGGGACTCTGATGCATTGGTGTCAGTGTTGACTATGTGCCTATTTCTGTACCTTTGCTGTGTACAACCTGATACTCATAAATAAACAAATCTTTACAAATACTTACAATGATGTCTCCAGTATTCTTTCCCTGGTAGGAAACTGATCCCCAACTTTGCACTGTTCAGGGATACTTATCTAGGTGGAAAAAAGCATGTCTCAGATAAGTGTTCTGTGTGGCCTGGCCTTAGTGCATATAGGTTCCACAACATGCAAAATCACAGAATCTTGGGGGTTGAAGTGGCTGTCTCATCATTGTTAAGAAAACATAAATCTCAGAGTTTGGATCAGAGGACTGCTATCTTTATTGCTTTAAGTCCATATTAAAAGCCCAACTGACTGTTTTTGAGTATTTTAAAAGTGGTGAGACTACCCTGGTCCATACTCCAGAATGGGAAAGAAGACAGTTGGAGCGCTGATGTGCATCTAGTGTAGTCAGTGGGATTAAAAGGCAAAGAATGGACATCATGGCAGAAGTGAACATGTGCAATCGGTATAGGGATATATTTGGATTTTCAGGCTGGGAGCTGCACAGTGCAATCCTAAAATTGAAGTCAATGGAAGTTTTATGTCTCCTTAAGGTTGCACTAGTAATCTTTTAGTTTTAGAAGACTGTGTGATCCTTGTAGTCTTCTTTTAAATAGCATTTTAATTGTCTGGCTGTGGTCACACGGCAAGGTAATTGCGATATGTTCCCACTATAGATTTGGTCAGAAATATTTTTTTTTTAAGGTTGGGATGATCACACATCCCTCCCCAAACCGCAAGCATTGCGTGACAGACTATCTAGATAGCCATGTGAGGTTTTTTTTAAAAATTGCTTTGCGCATGCGCATATGCAAATGGATGAATCACCGCCCCCACCTGGACTCACTGTACTTTCTTGTTTTTACAGCCTGAATAGTGAACAAATAAATAATAAACGTTAGATGCTTTTCTGTTCTGCTTGGGGAACAGTTTGGAAGAGGCGCTCTCGGGGAGGCTTCACCGGGGAAGGCAGCGGCGATTGTCCAGAGCACAACAGTCCCTCTGCCAAACCAGCATCATGCAGCCTGCCCCTGTGACCTCAAGTCCCAATGTATCCGAGCAGCAGCACAGTTCAATGGCAAAGGAGGGAGGGAGGGAGCCCCTGGTGCCGGGGAGTGTGGCCAGCTTGCCAGCGGCGTCGGGGTGGGGCTGGTCCCAGCAGGAGGCAGCACGGAAAGTTGCTAAGGGGGGAGGCAGGCGGGCAGGTGGAAAAGGAAGGGCCACACGAGACAGTTAATGAGCAATGAATTATCACATTATAAACCAGGAAAGCAACAAATGCAGATTTCCGTCCTCAATACACTGGGAGAGGGGTCATTTTCCTCCATGGTATCCCACGGCACTTGATGATATCGGAAATACGTTTTAAAAGCTCTGCAGCACATATCCGATTGGAAAGAATTGTGGGACATGCCATCCGGCTTGATGGACTTTAATTACTCTTTGCTGCAGTTTTCCAGCCAGGGGCTCCCTCCCTCCCACCACAGCTATACATGCGCTTGAACATTTGAATTTGTTCAGCGCAGGATTGCTCATGCGCTTAAAGGAGGAAGCTGTAAAAAAAAACCCACCTCTTTGCAAAGGAAGGTCAGACGAAGCTTGAAAAAAAACACCTCTCCGCCGCCCGCTCGCTCCCCCTGCGTCTCTCTCTGCCGCCGGCCCGCCCCTTCCTTCCCCGCTATTCTCTTGTGTTGCTTTGGTTATTTTAAGTACCTTTGAAAAAGAAAAGAGAGCCAGCGAACGACTACAAGTCCCAGTGTATCCGAGCAGCAGCAGAGTTCAACGGCGAGGGAGGGAGGGAGCCCCTGGTGCCGGGGAGTGTGCCTAGCTTGCCAGCGGTGTTGGGCTGGGGCTGGTCCCAGCAGGAGGTGGCACGGAAAGTTGCTAGGGGGGGGAGGCAGGCGGGCAGGTGGGGAAGGAAGGGCCACACGAGACAGTTAATGAGCAATGAATTATCACATTACAAACCAGGAAAGCAACAAATGCAGATTTCCGTCCTTAATACACTGGGAGAGGGGTCATTTTCCTCCATGGTATCCCACGCCACTGGATGATATTGGGAACACATTTTAAAAGCTCTGCAGCACATATCCTATTGGAAAGAATTGCGGGACATGCCATCCGGGTTGATGGACTTTAATTACTCTTTGCTGCAGTTTTCCAGCCAGGGGCTCGCTCCCTCCCACCACAGCTATATATGCGCTTGAACGTTTGAATTTGTTCAGTGCAGGATTGCTCATGCGCTTAAAGGAGGAAGCTGTAAAAAAAACCCACCTTATTGCAAAGGAAGGTCAGACGAAGCTTGAAAAAAACCCTCTCCACCGCCCACTCGCATCCCCCCCGCAACTTTCCATGCCGCCTCCTGCTGCCTGACCAGCCCCGGCAATGCTGTTGGCAAGCTGGGCGTGCTCTGCTCCCTGGCGCTAGGGGCTCCCTCCCTCCCTCCTAACGCTGCAGCTTTGGGGACTCCTTGGGCAGGCTCCACCGCCTGCAAGCCTGCCTGGCACTTCCTTCCCCTAGAACATTTTTATTAATTTTAAAAGAGTCTTTAAAACTTCTAGACTTGTAAACTATGTTGCTTTACTTTGGCCAGTAGGGGTCCTTTTGAATAATAAAAATTTTGTACTTTTTAAATTGGTTTCTAGTGAACAAGACGTGTGCATGATTAATTTCTGTGATTTCATCTTCCAATTTTCTGCTTGTTAGCAGCTTGTGGATTTTTGCTGGGTTAGTTTTAAGTGTATAATGGTTTCTCTTTAACCAGACACTTTTTTGTCTTAAAAATAAGCTTGATAATTCTTTAGCAAAACTTAAAATAATTCAGCTTGTTGCTGCTCTTACAAATATCTTATACCATAGTAAATATTCAGTTTTAAACAAAATATAAAATCTAAAAACACACAAGTCAGAAGAGAGGAAGGGCGATTCCTCTGTTACAGTGTACAGCTATCCTTTCGTTTACCCTAATTAGGCTTTTCTAAAAATACCTTGGCCAATTATTTCTAGTTCTCTTTAAAGCAAAGGCTGTCACTATAAATTTCTAACGTTGGCAGTGGTGCTTCCTGCCATCCCAATTAAAAAAGCTGAGGTAAGAACACCTGGCCTAATTAGAAAATTCTTTGTTGTCAATTAAATTAGATTTAAAACATCTGTTTTTACAATTCTGCTTTAGTGGTTAACGATTTGTTAATTCTTCTGCAGATTCCCAAAGAATCTCTCCCAAAGATTCCTGGAACGCTAGCAGTAATCAGTAGACAATCATTTGAACCCTTGAATTCTCTTCTACATTATGGAAAGAGCATCTGAAAAGCCCAGAGGCAGATGTAAGCTCCTCCTGTTAACCTGGAAGTCCCTGTACTACTCTGTAAAGAAAATAAAGGCGATAAAAGAGGAAGATCAGTAAAACAGTCAAGATCCTCAAATTAGTTTTCAAGGTCCTGATTTTTTTCTTCATTGATTGCCACATTTTGTCTACAGTTTAATTCACTTTGCTCTGATTTTTGCTGCAATATACTAATGCTGTTACTTTGGTCATGAAAACGGCATCTTATTCTCAGAAAACAACAATAAAAAATATGTAATAATATTTAAAGCAGTAGCAAGTCTAAGGACAATCAGTCAAAAACCTCTTGGAGGGAGGAGTCCCTTGAAGGTGACAGAGAAATTTGTGCTCAATCGAAGGGGTCCAAATAAGTAAAACTATGCTTAGTAGAAGCAAAGTCTTTATTCAGTTGACCATGGACAAGGAAAGTATCTACTCCTATAAAAGTTCAATATATTGACAATTTTACAGGCAAAAGCATAAGCATGTATAGGTAAATTGACATCCGGATCTTGCAGAACTGTTACACCAATTAAACAGTGACAACTCAGTACTGCACCAAATCTAAACCAATACAAAAGCAATCTATATTTCTTTCTTAACATACATTAAAGAATATTATTACCTTATCAATGGTATGCTACAAGCGCAACATGAACTATGGACTACTATAGTTTAAGAAAACAGGATCTGTGTTAAAGGTTAGTTTGTCCTATGAGGTGAGGAATGCAGACTTTAGGAGACTTCAGCTAAAAACACAGATAACAGTGCTGACACGTCACTGGGTCAAACATTCCCCTCAGTTCTTTACTTGGCCTTGTTCATGGCCCCAGTCTCCAGATTTAAGTATCCACAGATGAGGCCACATTGAGAATTAGATACATGGCTGTTGTGAGTTCCTTCTCAGGTGTTCGGTAGAATTATCTCATCATTATATTTAGCTATTCTAAACTATTTCCTCTCCAGTGACCCTATGTTGTTTCTTTCTAGGAGGAGTAAATTCCTGTTAAATGCCAGAATCCAAAAGACTTAATGGTAAATGGAAGTAGCTTAATTTCAATGAACTTGAGTGGCTTTTAAGATTTTTTCTTTAACGGTAGCTGTGTGGTAATTTTTTAAGCACAGAAACTTTTCAAAATCATTTTCAATATGGTATGAAATCCTCTTTTTAAAAGTGGAATAGCGCAAACCTCTTGCTTAAACTGAAATAGATTTTTAGATTTCAGTTAGGGTTGCCAAGTCCATCTTCCATCCCCAGCGGGGGACTTTGGGGGCGTTCCTGGAGGACTTCATAGATTGTTCCTGATGAGGAGGCTATGCTTAAACACTTAGAGCACTTATTATCTGAATACCACTTTCTGAAAGTGTGTGCATCTTTGTTATCATGTATATTGTTGCTGCAGGGATAGCCCTTCAGGCTCTTTTGATCATTGTTATGACTTTTGGTACTGTACCAGCCTCACAAGTCATCTCAGGGCAACTCTCCTTAATAGGGGGTAGTAACCTTTTTACCAGAGTGTACCAGAATGGACTTGTCCAGCTTTGTAAGACTATGGCAACAGTGGAGTCAATTTGTGCAAACTTCTATTTTTGTTTTTGTGGTTAGGAGTTTTGGGTTTTTTGCAGTTAATTTTTAAGTGTACATAGAACAAAGATATATGTAATGTGTTTATTGTGAGTGCATGTACTTGCAATTC